CAAGACATAATACATCCAAAACATACATACACATGCGTGCACATAATGGCCACAAAATGCCCTTTACTGAATCAACCAAACCCAAAAAATAAATGTTTGAATTAATGATAAAAGAAAACTTCAACTTGAATCTGAATCGATGACCAAAACCAAAAAACAAACTGAATCCATTAACAAAATAATAGTAATAATAATAATTTGCTTTCGGATCCCAAAGCTAAACAAAAAATTTTTGACCAAAGCAAATGGCCAGAAACAAAATAAATCTGAAATGGATAAAAAACAAAATGATTTATGATTTGCAATTTAATAACCACAACCGTATGCACCGTTTTTTTAAAAGAAAAAAAAACTGACCAAACCAAAGCAAACGAAAAACCGTGAAATCAAAAAACGGAAGCAGGCATCATAGAATTGAACTTCATCCAAAACCTCAATGATCTTTTGTTTCTGGAGAAACTATGTCAGAAAGACAAATTAAAGAAATTGATTACAATTGTTACAAAATCCATTAATCAAAAAGTTCACTGAAAACGAAAGACCAAATTTGTGCATAACCAAATTTCGGTACACCGAAACCAAAGCACAGATTATATTATTAAACCACTGAGTAATTTGACGAAAAGAAAATATTGCAAACATAAATTGATTACCGAAAACTGAAGTCGAAGACGTTAGATCACAAACGAATTCGTGCCCTATCAATCAATTTTGATTTTGCAAAATAAAATCTAACTTAAACAACAAAACCGAATGTCTCAATATTTGATGTGGAGGTGGCTCTGATACCACTTGTTGGATTAAATCCTTTAGCCTAACACTCCAGATCAAATAACGAGAAACAAACTAATGCGGAAGCGTACCTGAATCCATTGCGGATGAATAATTTCTTCAAGTTTGGTTTGATCTTCCAGATGATTTCTTTTAACCAGGTAAAGAACGTGAGTTCTCAAAACTGACAAATGGGGAGGCAGTTTTTGACGGTGTAAAGAGTCACCCAGGGACCACAACCAGTTATATAGTAGTAGGGTTTCTTTTCCACCCATCACAGAAAAGAACTCTGGTCTTTTAGGTTTCTACACAATGATGTCCACAACTTTAACTTAATTAATAATTATCCCAAAACTTTAGTTAATATAATTTAGATCACTTTTAATTGGGTTATATTTTATGATAATATATAATATACAATTATATGTTTAGTGTATAAGTCCAAAATAACCTTACATGTAATACTTATCACATCGGCAGCTAAACCCTTCTCGCTGTCAAATCGTAATCCCTCCCCGATTAAAAATATGATCCTTTGTTGTTTTGCATAAATATGCACCTTAATTGAAGATAAAATCCCTAACTCAATTGATGAAATTTGGATGTGATTCTTATCACATCGGCGGCTAAAGTCCCAACCCCTAAAACCTTATGCTTGAAGTGCCCAGGTAGAATACTACCGCGATGAAGTTTTAAACTTTCGTGTATGATACAGGTTGAAAAGTGCAGTTCACGGGACTCTTTTGACACTGCAAGATCCCAATAACGAGAAAGATGGCAATAATGCTAATGATGCTGTTGATCAATATAAAGCTGCAAGGTAATTTTTTTTCTGCAAGGTAATTTTTTTTTCTCGATTTGGGTTAAGAGATCTATGAAATCTGATTTTTTTTTTTTTTTGTAACAATATCGATGATGGTTGCTTTCTGGTTGATAAATAGTTTTTGAATGCTATCTAAAACTTAAAGTTTTGCACACAATTATTTTCATTTTTAAGTTTTTGGATGTACGTCAAGGACTACAATAGAGGGGTTCTTAAGAAATGTAAGATGGATCTAAAACTAATCAACATGATATCACACCACATGCATTCTGTTTTTTTGTTTTTCCAATTTTTTCCCCAATGTAATATTTATCACTAATTTAAGGTGTGAAAATCTTGCCTCCATCATGGAGGTAGACACCGAGGTCGCCGTAGCCCGCATTACATATCGATCAGACTCGCCATCCAAGTAGAACCACAACCAGCAACTGAATCTCTTTCTAAAATGGTAAAACCATTGCGTTGTTGTTTGAATTCAATTATTCACTTTTGCTAATTTGATAATTGTGTTTTGCTTGGATTTGTCTTTATCTTCTTGGATGATCAGTTGTATAGCTTTAGAAAGTGCGTGATGAGATCTTCTAGAATTGGAGTGATTTGGATTGTAAATTTTACTTTGAAACCCCCAAAAAACCTCTCGACAAATTGGTTTGCAGTAAGATCTATACTATTTTGTTTTCTTTTTTACGTATGGTTGCACCGTAAGCACTTCTCAATAGGGATGACAACGTATATTACTACTAATGACCCGAAAAACTCATTTACCTTTATCAAAGGGACGATATTGGTGGCTTCGAAAATGTTATGTTTTAATGAACGTTGCAACTTTTTCCCTCAATTTCCATCTTTTTCCAGGATTACTCACAGAAACTGAATTTTATTCAATTAAATTTGTGTTCTTTTCTATGTTCCTGGATTTTTTTTCTACTAAAATTTGTGGGGTTGTTTTGTACCCAATTGGGTCTTATGTTTTGTTTTGTTCTTTTTTTTTTTGGTGGCCTTAGTAGTACTTATCTTGACGTATCATACTTGCAATGGTGTTCTACCACCATTATGAATTAATGAATAAGGGATAAAGTCTTGGATTGTGTTTTCGTAGGTGGAATTGGATAGATTTGGAGTTGAAAATGTTATAATTAATTCGGATTATGAGAATAATAATATCGGAAAAAAGGAGAAAATATTCCTTATGAGAACGGTAAGGAATCTCCAGTTCAATTATGATCTCTCATTTTTCTTGATAATAATGCTATTTTTTGTTAGTTTATAGCGCTCCTGATTGATATACTCAATTTATAGGTGCTGATTTACCTAGGATTTTTTCTGTTTGCAAAGAGAGATGACATTTAATATTTTTATGCGATTGTTTTTATTTAAATACCTTAATTAATATTGAAATTCGATAGTAATTTCTTTTAGTTGGTTGTTTTCCTTTGTTTTGTATGCCAGGTGAGGCGTTTACTGGATATGGCGTTAAAGTTAGGACGGAGTAGTACTCAGTTTATGGGACTCTTTTACTGTTATTTGAATAATTGACTTTGAGGGTTTTTTTTTTTTTTTTTGGTTCAGACACTAGCTTACCACTATAAATAAACAACTATATGTTATTGGTATTTGCGAAACATCTTAAACCAGACTCTACAAGATGAAGCCTTATAACTCTCATGTTAAAGTTCCTTAAACAACCTAGCTATGAAAAAGGTAGAATGTAGGCATGTAGCATCAACATTGATATTTTTTTTCTATTATTTAAAAAGTAGACTCTGGCACATTTTATTTCTATTTGGTGTTGATTTAATATATTTTCAATGACATTATAAATTGAAATTATGAAGAAATTAGCTATCTTGATCACTCAAACTGAAATAGTACATCAAACTAATATATAATAAATTATATCACCGCATAACGTACGGGAATAATACTAGTATAATGAAGATTTCAATTTGATGTAAAATTGATATTGTAGGTTGGAAAAATAACACTGTAATAAGCAGCGAAATAACAAATCTGATTAGGTGGTGTGTAACAAATAGATGCAACATTGCAGTTGCTCTTAGGAACAAAGGGGTTGCCTTAAAAAAAAAAAAAAAAAAAAGAAATTGTCAAAACTACCCCATCGTTTCTTTCCCCTTTACTCGCCTTTCACACCCGGTGCCCCTCACTCACCTTTTCTCCACCTTCATTTCAATCCAATTCTCATTTCCAAAATTCTCACTTCCTCCTGCAAGGTAAGTAATCCTCTCACCGCATAGTTTTATAATTTTGGAATTACACATGAAGAGTAACCGTTTGGGAATTTTGTCCTCGAATTCAATCTCTTCTGATATTATAACTTAAGTCATGGATTTCTGTTAAGACCGAAGAAACTGATGTAGATGAACAATTCATGTTATTTTCATTTTGTGTCATAAACTTAGCAACCTGGAATTAGTGGGGGAAATAGTGCATTTAATTTTCCTGATTTCTGTCATTCAGAGAAGCGAGTATGTTTGGAGAGATTCTCTGTGAGATTAGTTAGTTCATACCTTATTAATTTGAATTATGGAATGTGTTGACAGTCGAATCCTTGGAGTACGAAAATGGAATCCGTCTGTTTTTGAGGCTCGAATCTCCATCTTTCAGTGATTGTTTTCATTGTAATTTTTCTTCATTTCAGTCCCTAAGTTGATAAAGGTAATGGTGCTTCTTCTAATCGTTCAATTGGAGTTGTGATAGTCTTGAAAGGAAGTTGATTTGTACATGAATAGTTCCTGAAAATTCCAGGAAGTACCTAGCCTGAGTAGCCAATTTGTAGATCATAGTTTTCACTGTTTGGGGATTTCTTTCAATGAACCCCTTCTTTGTTTAGGGTAATTCATTGTGGTTTTTACGGATGGTTAAGTGAATGAATGGTTTGCCCGAAAATTTTTTATTTGAAAATGACCAATCTGAAGGGATAAACTGAATTGCTGAAAATTCTGCTGCAGGGTACTACTGTCTGGAAGATCTGAATTCTTTTGCTTAGTGAATTGTTTGTACTGATTGTTTTATGATGAATCTCGTCTTTGTTCACCTATGTCTACATTGGTTTTGATGGCCCACAAATTGGATCTTTTTGATAAAAAGGATGCTTTGAAGGTTGCTCCTTTACTACTCTTTTACTGAACTTTCAGAACTTTGAAATTTAGTGACTGACTTGAGGTTTCAGTGTTTCACTGTTTCTCTGACCATTTACTTTTTTCTCATGAGATTTTTATTCCCTTTCATGCTTGTTCATCGAAGTATATGCCAAAACTTTTGGAGTTGAAAAGTGACATCTCTGACTCTGATTATCTTTGAATCAAAGCCTTCATCAGTATTTATTAATGAAATGCTGAATGTTGCAGTTGAGTGAGAGGTATAAGTAAGTTTTCAACCCAAAAGAATGTACGGGAGAAAAGGAAGTGAGTTAGTTAAGGAACTTACGTGTGCAGAACCTGGACAACTCTTGGCTTTTAATGTAAGTTCACCTCTCTCTCAGGCAATAAATGATTTCTCAAATTCTCTTCTTTTGCTTTGGACTTCTTTTCTTCTGTGTTTTTTTGTTAAATATATTTCGATTGATGTGAATCATGTGGAAATACTGTGAATAGGAAGGTCGATTTTCTTGGTGTTCATATCAAATGTGTTAGTGCAAATGACTAGTTTTTCCAAATATGTGGATTGGAGGATGCTACTGCTGCTGCTGATTTTAAGATTGCCAAGATATTGTGATTGGTATATTCCCACTTGGAATTCTCTAATTGTGCCTTCTCTTCTTTTTTTGGGCAATATAGGATGACTTGTTCTCCCAAGAAATTGAAGAATGTACTGGTCATCTACACAACCTTGCCCCATTAATAAAGTCGGCTTTTTTTTTTTAATTAGGTACTTTTGTTTTGTTTTTTTTCCCCTTCAGAAAACATGTTCATTGGATCAGCCATTGGTTTATTGATCTTGATTTAATGGCAGGAAAATAGAAGAATTAAAGAAACTTGAAGAGATGAAAATGCATAACCAGCAGCTGGAAGAATTGGACAAACAGGCATTAAAAGCTCACGACTCTGGAGCACTCAATCATCATCTTTCTCTACTCCGCAACAAGCGTTGTCTGATGACCTATCTGTATGTAAACTGTTTATATTTCTTTCTTCTGGAGCTACCTAGAGACTCCATCTTAATAATACTTATGTTTTGTTTTTAAACAGGTATAACCGAGCAGATATTATACAAAAGTTGGGATGGACAGTTGATAAAGTAGCTCTCCCAGAAGAAATCGAAAAGAAGCTCAGTAGCTCTGAGAAAGAATATTTCAAGAATCATGGTGCTACTTTACAATCTTATATTTCAGAGCTTGATCTTGAATTGGCTGTGGTAAGAAAATCTCTTTTCTGATATTTTATTCTAGAACCTTATATTTTAGGAGAACGCATTATGGGACTTCTCCGAATATGATCTTGACTTATAGCTAGAGTTCACGATCTTTCTAGTACAAATATAGGAGATCTTATGTGAAATACTTAATTAATACAACTTTACTTATGTTCTAATTCGATTTATGTACACATGACATATTGCTGACTGATTTATGTTAAAATTTCCAGCTTCAAGAAGCCTGAATAATCTTTTTGTGTATCCCATCTTTGCTAGGATATGGTTCCACCAAAAGATCCCCTCATCAAAGTCAGGGTGCTTGATGAAATCAGAAATGTTGTTCTCAGTGATCAGTCGGCTCATCTTGCTTGCCAAGCTATAGTTTTCCTCAAGCGAACTAATGCTGAGCAGTATATTGCCCAAGTAATTTCAACTCTGTTCTGACTATTTTAACATATGAATTTGCCAGATGTGGCTATTATAATATATGTTTGATTTAACAGGGTTCAATGGAAGAGTTAACTGGTTGATCCAAGTGCACTGCCTTCTTATGCAAGGAATTGCTGCCAGATTATGCTTCATTATTGGTTGATCTGACTTCACAAATCTTAGATATCCAGAGGAGATTGCTTATTTTCCTTTTGCAATATCAATGTAAAAGCAAGTCTAGAAGAAGGAAAAAAGGGCAAAAGGAATATGCATGATTGCCTCAGACTTTCACCATGTGTCATTTTAAGAAGTTGTGAATAGATCCTCCACCAAATGGCTTTTCTCCTTTTTGAATGTCTGACTGTTTGAGTGATAGTTCTAGGATGTACACCATTTCAGATTTAGTAGAGTTAGTTTTAGTACCACATTCACTTTCATTGGGTGGTTATTTAACTTCAGTCTGAAATACATTGATGTTTTGCGAATTGGTTCAGAGGATCCAAAAGTTTTTAGATGATGTTCTTCAGAGATCATTTGTTAAACTAACTTTGTCTGTTTTTTAACTTCACACAAATATTAGATTATAGATGGGTTGGGAGGCATTGTCACAGAAGTATTTCAACATCAACTTGGAATCCATGTTTATTTGTGAGTCCTACATTTCACCAAGAATTTCTATCCAGGCATTGGATGCATTTTCAAAGTGCCATGCTCCCCATGAAGAATCAGCTAATTCTCCAAAGAGATGCATGATTATGTAAAGATGGAAGATCCAAATACTGCAGAACAAGTTGAGGTTGCTGATGCAAAGGTGATTAACAGGGTCACTTTTGTAAATATTAAGATGTACAGGGGTCATACTTGTAAATACGTAACTGACGTGTATAAGTTACGTACAGTTTATTAGGTTCGTTGGTTGATTAAGCTTGCTAATCACGCAGCTCATGAGGTGTATATATACTGATCACGTGATGTTTTGCAGATAAACGAATATGCGAATAAACATTCAATATACAACAAGCTTTCTTCTTCCTTCGCAAATACAGAAACCCCAGCCAGCTCTATTCTTGATCCGAACTAGATTTCACTCATTTTCCAGCTAAAGAGCTTATTGCTTCTAGCCTCAAGGATGCCTTTTTGCAGCATTGATTTCCAAGATGTGCAGAGGCGGCATTTGATCATGCAAAGCCATTGTCAGGGGTGGCCATTTGGGCTCTTTAAGAGAGCTCCGTTGCTTCCTCCCCAATCTAAATTTCCTGCCGATTCTTGGCTATGGCGTCAACCTTCTAGAGTCACCAGAACTCGGTGACTGAGTTTTTTAGGTTGAGGATTTGACAGGCGATTGAGTTTTTTTTTTTTTTTTTTATCGTCCCCTGGTTTTTCTTGTCAATTCTTTTGATTACAATTTGCAAGTGCGTTTGAAAGAGGTTGAAAACTTCAGTACATACTTTCATTGAATACTAAAATCCAAGCAAAATCGAGAATTTTTGTCGACAAGCTATAGGAATGAACTGTATTTGAAACAAATTTATGGAGAAATTTATTAACTTTCTGTGGGGGAACAAAGAAGGGGAGTTCATAAGACCAAAATTATGGTTTCAGGACAACAGAATCCGAATTAATTAGGCAATTGTATACCAATTTGATCATTTTAAGACTATAAAAAAGATGGATATACAATTGAATGAGAGAATTAGTTATTGTGGCTATATGAAGAGAAGAAAGATATCCGGGAGTGGGGATTTTAGCCTTCAAAACAAATTTCACCATATTTTTCAAAATTGCATTTGTGAGAAGTTTTTTTTTTTTTTTTTTTTTTTTTGGTATCCGTCGTATATAGCCTCGTTAATTATTCTTCTTCACCTTCAATCAAATAGAAAAATCCAAATCGAACTCCTCAATTACAAGTTAGATTTCTTCATCTCTTGTCACTAAGTATTCTCTCGTCAAGCTGCTAGCCTTATTTCCTTCTGCTTCACAGTTCCTTATGTTAATTTCTTGTCTAAAATTGCATCTTTCAGGAAATTGTTTGATAAGATAAGCTCTTACCTTGAATTTGTTTCATTTCTCAATGAAATAGTGGAATACTTTGCTTCTCTTTTAATTATTTTGTAGGTTTCTTTTGAGTTCAAATTGTTGACTTACGTGAAGCATTTTGAAATACTATGTCTATATAATACCTTTTCATAAAGGTTTACTTGCCAACTTAAATTACCACTTGTAGTTGGTTGGTTATTCTGTTGTACACGAACTGCACAACTATATGAACAATAAGCACACGTATGGAATTCAATTTATATATCCTTCATCATCGTTAAAAGGTTCCTTGAATTTTATTGGAATTTTTCTTTTACCAGGATTGATTCTTTTGTAATTCGAACATGATTGAACTTCTGAGTCGAAATATCTGGACTTCTACTCTCAAAAGTACGGAATTCAGTCCAAAGTCGTGGTAACTTTTCTCGCATTATTGATTATGATCTCAGGAATTAATTCCCGAAAAGACTATTTTTTAAGTTCACAATGAATTTGAAGAAGAAAATTCTCATAAAAAATATAATAATACATTGATTCGGGTGGTAAAGCGATCATCAGAACTATACGCATCATTTTGACCATCTTGAAAATTTATGAAGATTAAGGAGTTTTTCTGTTTCATTTTTTAGGGGGAGTCAGGAATTTAGGAAGCAAGAAATCGAGAAGAGAAAGTATTAATCATTGACCTCATAATTGGGGGTATTCGAAAGAAATAATAAATTTGCTCTGGAGGTTAAATTTGCGTTCGCAGTATCACTGATCTTTACAATAATGCAACTAAATTTTGACTCAATCTATCAACAAAGTAAATACAACTGCCACTTAATTATGTAAACTAATTAAATGGCATTGCCATCAACAAGGTGAAAAAATACACCTAATATCCATATTTTCATTTTTCTGCTCTGCTAATTTGAAAACTATTGGGGGTAATTTTTATTCTGGTTCGTCACATTTTTTCAAAGAAACCGATACACGTTTGGGTGTTTTGAAAATTAGGCATGATGATAAAAGCAAAATTAATTTTCAAAAAGGCAAGATGAATACTTTACTGCCCAAAACGAATTTGAAAGAAAAACATAACGAGGCTGTATCCAGTATATCTGGGGGTACGGTGCTCCCTTCTATTTTTTGCACCAGGAGTCCTTATTATATTTTTCATCAATTTTTTTATGATTTGCAAGTTTAGTCCCTGTGATTTTTTCCTCTCTCATTTAAAAAATATCTCTAATCTTTAAATGACCATATCTCATAATCCGTAAAGAATTAGAGAACGTGTTATGTATGAAAATTATAGTACTCGTTGAGATTAGGTCTGTTCATTGGGTCGGGTTGTACCCGACCCGACCGACCCGAACTTATTTGACTAGGTTCGGTCAAAAGAAATTCAGTTGTTTTGGTTATATTTTGACTAAACCAAAATAAACCCAGTATTGTAAACGGTGTGTTCGAATGTTCATTTTCACTCCCAGCACCCGTTTTCACTCCCATTTTTACTCTCCAAATCCAAATCCAACTCCAGTCAGACAGTCACCGGCGACCTTCCTCAAATCCAATCGTCGGCGACCTTCTGAGTCTGACACCCGTAATCTTCCTCCCTCAACACAGATCGGTCACGCATCATTCCCTATTTTCCTTTTTCAGATCTAGCTGATTCACTCTCCAAATCCAAATCCAAATCCAGTCAGGCAGTCACCGGCGACCTTCCTCAAATCCAATCGTCGTTGACCTTCTGAGTCTGATACCCGTAATCTTCCTCCCTCAACACAGATCGGTCACGCATCATTCCCTCTTTCAGATCTACTGCTTATCATTCCTCAAAATCCAATCGTCTTTGTTACTACTGCTTATCGGAATATTGCCCTTGCCAATTCGAACTCGCTTGGAAAACCTTTTAAAAGAAAAAGTAGGCCTTGGGAGTAGAGCGGCAAAGCTATGAAGGTACTCTTTTAATATGTTGAATGGAATGGTGCATAAGTGTTATTTTGTTTGTTTGTTTCTGGGTTTTTTTTTTTTTTTTTGTGTGTAATAGTGGATAGCTCTTTTGCTCTGTTTTTGCATAGATGGTTTCTATTGTCTATTGTCTTGAGTTATTTTGTTCACTCAATGAAGTTTTTTAAACTCAATCTACATTTTATTCGCATCTGAAAACAATACTAAGCTTCCAACCCTTTTATGTTTAAGCAATTGAAATTGATATTTTGATGATTTCCTTAATTCCATTCCAGGAGCGGGAAAGCCAAACACTAAGCTCTGAACTTGACGTTCACCATATTGTGTAGCTGATTGTGTAACTGATTTTCACGCATCATTCCCTTAGCTGATTATTACTTCCATCCGTGCATGTTTGAAGGTTTTCTGAATGTGGGTTTTTCTGGGTTTTTTGGGAGAGGGTGGGATTTTATTAGTTTGATCTCTCTCAATTGAAGCAAATGTCATGTTTGAAGTTTTTGTCAAATGGTGTTTTCAGCTGCTTAGTATCTGTTCAAAGATGTGGTGTTTGCTGTTTCTGTACTGAACTGAGTTTTAATCAGCTAACTGAGTTTTGTACTGAACTGCCACATACCAATTCTTTTGTAAATTTGATTCTTTGAAATTCTTTCTGTGTTGATGCATGATAAAAAGATTGTAGCTCTTATCGGATGATGGATTGATTGAAGATAAGCATTTTCGATTTCTGGGATCCGTTTATTGACAAGTATTGATTTGTTTTAAACTTGATTTTTGTCTGCGTGTGTGTGTAGTAGTTGACATGATTTTTTATTTTTGTTTTTCCTACTTATTTGCGTTTAATCTTCTAAATCGTGGAAGATGGAAGCCTTTTAAATATGGTAGAGTAGTTATACAGGTAGCTCGTGCAAAACTTCATCGATCCACTGCTTTTTTTTTTCAAGAGTAATATCAATTTATTTATTAGTGGTTTGTTTACCATGCTTTCAGATTGGTGAGATCATTGGCCGATTTGAGAAGAAAGGCTTCACTCTGAAAGGTGAATTCCTTATTTCTTTATTCAATTTTGTTTGTTTTCTATCAGTTAACTTGTATGCAATAAATCCTTTGTTGG